TAAGGATATCAGTCATCTTGCCTATAGACAACTGGGAGAAAATGCACTACAATGATATTGAGGTATATACAGACGACTATAAGAAAGAAAATGGAAGAAGTAGCGGTATCTTTTGTTTAACAGGGTCACATAGATCCGCCGGTACTGATGCAATATCTAGGATTCCGGGAATGGATCCACTTTACCTAAAAAATAAGCCTTTAGAGCACAAATCAGACTCAACCAGAATGGACAGATAAAAATTAGTGATTAAGGGAATTCTTCGTTTACAGAAGGATTACCATGCAGCCCAGAGCTATTGGGATAGCAGTCATCCCGCCTAGAGTATACGCCACAATGGTATTGAGATATATACAGATGTCTGTAAGTAAATGGAACCGGTATCGATATCTTTTGTGAAAAAATACTGTATGAAAGGAAGCCTACAGAACAGTTTATAGCCTGATGAATATATACGATAATGGAGGCACTGGTACCGGACAATTATAACCCTCTGAGGTCTCACTAAGGATCAGCTGTTGGTCTTGTGCATTACACACATAATTTTGTGGTCCTCTCTCAATCTAAATCTTTCCAAAAAGTAATTTTTGTCGAATTATATTTTAATGCCATTAATTTTGAACGATTTATATATAAACCGATTTTAAGCCAGAATTTTTATATGGGATCAATCAAGTTCCGAAAATTTTAGTTCATATAAAACTAGTTTCTGTACGATTTCATTCAAATACTTTTATTTTTAAGTCAGTTATGAGACATAAATTTATTTTCTGATATGGATCACTTATGGGTAATTGAAACAATTATGGACCGATCCCCATTAAATTTACCAGACTAGTTCACATTGTATTTCATCGCTAAAGACAGTTTCGAAAGTGAAAGTCATTTTTTGAAGAGGATTTTATATGTCTGAGGTAAATTTGGGACCGATCCTTACAAAATTTGCTAGAGAAATTTTGGTTTCTATAAAACTTATTTTCTATAATTTCATAACTATACGAGTATTTTGAAGTTAGTTATGAGCGTTAAAGTGATTTTCTGAAGGAATCCTTATATAATGAATGGGGTCAATTATGGACCGATCCTATAAAACTCGTTCATATTGAATTTCATCGCTAGTATGATATTATAGAGCCAGTTGTGAGCATTAAAATAATTTTCTGAAGAGGACTTTTTCTGGGGAGTGGGGTTAAGTATGGACCGATTCTCACAAACTTTGGTAAAGTTATTTTGGTTTCCATTAAACTTGTTTTGTATAATTTCATAACTATATGAGTATTTTTAAGCTAGTTATGAGCTTTAAAGTGATTTTCTGAAAGGGTCCAATGGATAGGGTTAATTATGGACCGATCTTTATAAAATTTGGTAGAGATTTTTGTTGCTATAAAACACGTTTATGCCGAATTCCGTCTATATACTGAAATATTTAAGTCATTAAGAGCGTTAAAGTAATTTTCTGAGGAGGACCCCATTAGGGGTTCAATTATGGACCGATCCTGATAAAATTTAGTAAAGTGATTTTGATTCCCATAACATGGTCTATGGGTATTTTATCTAATTTTATAACTATGAGGATATTTTTAGTCTCATTATGAGCCTTAAATTGATTTTCTAAAAGGGACCTTATATGGGGAATAGAATCAATTATAGACCGTTCTTTGTAAAGTTGACAGTTTGACCTTTCAGATGACATAACAGATTTTATGAATAAAGGTACGTCCTAGCTGTTATAGCGCCTTAAATATGGCCACAAAAGGGGTTTTTCCAAACCTAATGACAAGATATTTGGGAAATCTGATATGATGGACCAATTCTGATGCCTGTTTCAAATACCCAGTTACTCGTTCCATTAGGAAAGTATATTTTGGTCTCTTTTTGTTTCGTCTTGTTAAAAATTGCGACCTGTAGTTCGATTATAACATTAACATAGACGGACAGTCAACTCATAATGGGTATAGAACCTTTATTTCCATGCGTTACATATATCTACACAAACCCATAATACCCTTCCCATTTTAGTGATATAGGATATAACCTTGCAAAATAAGTACTTATATAATAGATTCTAAATCTGTCATTACCTAATTGTTGCTTCGTGATATACATGAAATGTTAATGACATTTCAGAGATTGTTATAAGTTTTAGTTAATTAATAATGCTTGAATCTAAATTGGTACCCAGAACTTGGTATTTATATAACAAATGTTTAAGATCTCATTAGTATTATAATATATTTCTATAATTTTCTTAATGCTTAAAACATTAAAATAAAACTTTTTTTTTTTTGTTTTTAAACAAAATTGTCCAGTTGCATCACAAATTATAGTGAGATCACCACAAGTTGTAGTATAAAATATATATATATTGTACAACAATATAATATTTATTAGTTTTTTTTTTTTTTTTTGAAGACCTCTAACTAACAGTAGTCACTCTGCTCACTGTCACAATCAACATCAAAATTATTTTCAAACCATAAAATTCATTATCATGACAACAAGTACATACTACTAGTAATAGACCCTGTGGTTGTACAATGTTTGTTGTATTCGCACAAGTGCTCACTCGTACTGCTAATAAGTAAGTGGTATAATAATGATTTGAATTTTATTTATTGAAACGCTAAACTGCTAAGTGGCCATCATCAATGACGGGGAAGAAAACAAACAAAAACTAAATAAAACCAAAAACCAAATTGTTGTTGTTATAAATTACAACAATATACAAAAAGTAAATAAAAATATTTTGTTGGTTTATATATAAAAAAACATCGGATGTAGATGTATTCATATATAGTATTTGTTTATTTTATTATCTCACACCGGCATCCAGTTATAAATAAAATAATAATAAAATTAACAGCAAAACGGTCTGGCCGCACACATTAAAAATGGAAATTAAATACAAAATTATTCAGCAAGTCTGTGTAGTATTTGAAAAATCGAAACTGGGTACAAAAAAATGATGTCATTTTTGGGTATTTTTTTCATTTTGCTTTTTTTATATTTCACCTTTTACCATTTTTTTTTTTTTTTTGAATTTTTTTACCAAGAAACTGCGTAAAATATCGATCATTTGTTAGGTTTAAAGGAGAATGTTACAACATTAAGCAAAAACCAAGCCTTCATCATCCCCTTATAAAGACTTTTCTATTTTCTTTTCTTTTTTCGTTTCATTCATGGTTGAGGAATAGGTTTGCAGCAGGCATGGTAAAGTGATATTTTAAAAGAAAGCTAACTCTTATCCAAAAGAGAATAAAGAAATTATTTTCTGTCTATTGACTAGTATACAGACTAGTCTAGGGGTCTATTGACTAGTCTACGGACTAGACTATTGATTAGTCAATGTAATACTCTATTGACTAGTCTATTTACTTGTTTATGGACTTCACTATTGATTAGTCTATGGCCAAGACTATTGACTAGTCAATGAAATAGTCTATTGACTAGTCTAACGACTTGTCCATGGACTAGTCTTTGGATTGGAATATTGACAATTTTATGGATTCGACTATTGACTAGACTATGGACTTGAATATTAACTAGTCAATGGACTATATTATAGACTAGTCCTTGATCTAGTATACACGCTAGTCTTAGACTAGCATATTGACTTGTCTATGAACTAGTCTATTGATTAGTATTATTATTGATTAGTCTATGCTAGTTGACTATACTAGACTATTGACTAGTCTATAAACTAGGCTATTGACTAGTCTATGGACTAGACTATTGACATGCCAATGAAATATTCTATTGACTAGACTATCAACTTGTCTATAGACTGGCCTTTGGGCTAGACTATTAACTAGTCTTTGGATACTATTGCCTAGTCTATGAATTAGTCAATGGACTGCCCTCTTGAAAAGTCAATTGACTATTCTATTGTCTAGACTATGGACTTGACTATCGACTTGTCTATGAACAAGTCTATGAACTAGACTATTGTCTAGTATATTGAATAGTCTATGGACTAGTCTATTGAGTTGAAAGTCAATAATTTATTGACTTTTATATGGAATAGACTATTAAGTAGTCTATGAACTGGACTACTGACTAGTGTATGGACTAGTCAGTGGACATGACTATTGACTTGTCTATGGATTAGCCTACGAATAAGTCTATGGACTAATCTATTTACAAGTCTATGGACTAATCTATTTACAAGTCTACGAACTGGTATATTCACTAGTCTATGGACTAGTCTATTGACTATGTTTATGGATAGTTTATTGACTAGTATATAAACTGGTATATGGACTAGTATATTGGCTAGTCTCTTGGCTAGTCTATGGACTAATCTATGGACCAGTCTATTGACTAGTCTATAGACTAGTCCATTGACTAGTCCACGAACTGGTCTATTACTAGACTATCGACCAGTCTATGGATTAGTCTATTGATAGTATTATAATATTATATAGTATATAAACCGGTCTATGGACTAGTCTAACGACTATACTCTTGACTGGTCTATGGACTAGTACAATTACCAGTCTCTTGACTGATGACTAGTCTATGGACTGGTCTATTGGGTAGTCTATGGACTAGTCCACGAACTGGTCTATTGACTAAACTATCGACCAGTCTATGGATTAGTCTATTGACTAGTATATAAACTGGTTATGTACTAGTCTAACTACTGGCCTATTGGCTAGTCTATGGAGTATATTGACTGGTCTACTGACTAGTCAATAAAACTGGTAAACTTTTTTTAACCTGCGGTCCAGCTTAAGGGCAAACATTTTGGGAAATAGTATATTAAAATTAACTAAATATTCGTATTCGATATGAACATCAGCAAATTATATTTAGGGACCATTCTAATATACATAACGTTCATTGTCAAAAAAAAGTACAATAATACTAAACTTTCCATCCCCGGATTTTGACACATGTGCAAGTATGTAGTTAATGCAAGTATAAAGTTAGATAAATTTGTGGGCAAAATGATTAATGTCTACTACAAGTTGTATTTTTGTTTTTCATTTTCTTTTTACCTCTTTTCTCCTTGATGTGCGTATCATATTGAGAGTTACTGCGTGCAAATTGTATTGCTGCCATTGTGGATTGGATTTCTTGATATTCGTTGGCGGACGTCTGAGACGTCGTCGTAGTACTTTGTTGTTGTTGTGTCTGAGTCGGAGTCAGAGACTTATGCAAAGTACTGGTAGTACTGCTAGAGGCACTTACAGTGCCGCCAGCTTTCGTTGGAGTTATTGCTGATGTTGCTACACTTGCACTTGCCGGTATTACCGAAGAGCCAGTTGGTACAATCACAATACTACTGGCTGTAGCACCTTCGGTGTCGGAATCGTCACTTTGCGTTTCGCGTAATTTATCCGTTTTATAGCCGAGTTCACCAGTACCGTGACCGAGACCGTCGCGACCATAACCCACTATTTCAAGACGTTTTCTTAAAGCTTCATGCTCTGGTGGTGGTGACGTTTCGTTTTCTAGTTTCGTTAGCTTGTGCGTAGCCGTTGTTGTTTTTGTTACCGATTTACCAATCCTAGAGGAGACCGTGGGGGATGTTGGGGACGGGGGCAAGCCAGTAATAGTTTGTTTTGTTACAAATCTATGCGATTCTTCTGGAGACGTAGAACCTTGCGATTGTATCGTTTTCGAAATACTGATATTTTTCACAGAAGTTTCATCGCTTTCCAATGATTCACGTTGCTGACGGGACGTTGTTGTTATTTTCGTGGTAGTCTTGGTAGTGTAGGCAGCTGTAGAGGAGGAGGACGTAGAAGAGGTATTGGTATAGTGTTGTTGCGTTTGCCATGGCATTTGTTCATGTTTGGTTTCCAGGCTTACCGTACGACGTTTAGGGTGGTTGCTAGTTGTGCCAACAATAATGTCAATGTTAGGGGGTGTTTCTAGAGTAACGGTTTCGCCGCCAGCAGTAGTCTTAAAGTGACGTTCACTTGTTACTTTATAATCAGTTACATCGAAGGAATCATCGGTACTATACATATCCATTTGTTCCTGTTCGTTTTCCAATTTTATAAGTATCCTTCGACCTCCAGCGGTCATATCTACCGAACGCGAAGGGGTAGTGGCTCTCATTTCACGCTGAGGAGAAGCACGTGGTGAGAAGTAACCCTCACCATGACGAAAGATTTTCTCCTCATGCTTACGACCATCACTAGTCATAGAGGAGGTGACTATGGTTTTTACTCCATCGGCCGATATAACTTCCCGAACGGTTTTTTCGCCCTCCAAGAATCTAGCCGAGGCCAATTTACCATCCACGGCTGTGGGATTTGGTGAAGTGGAATGTCTTTTTGTGGTGCGTAAAGTAACATTGAAAGGTGATGCTTGTTGTAATTCCTCTGGAGTGGCAGGATTTCTGCGATAACGCTGAGTTGTGCGTAATGTTACATTAAACGGACTTTTGGGGGAATGTTCTTCTAATTCAATGCGTCCTGTTACCGCTCCCGGTGAAATTTTACTGGTGGTCTTGAGGGTAACATTAAAAGGACTAGCAGTGTGTTCTTCATGTATTTCCACTTTACGGGCAGGCGATAGAGGTGTGGCCCTTAATTGGATCTGCTGAAAAGCCAATTTGGCAGCCTCAGCTTCAGCCAGACCACGTTTACGTTCTTCCCGTAAACGTTTTTCAATCTCATAAACATCTATATCAAAAGGATTATCCGAATCAATATTTATATCAATATCCGTGGCATCAGTAGAGCTGCGTATGCTCTCCTGGCTCATATGTTCCGCTGATCTTTTTATACCACCCATCTCACCCGAGTGCCAGGCCTTTTCATAAATGGCCACTTTTTGCTTTAAACGTAAAGGTGTGGTAGGTGTCTTAGGTCTTCCCAGGGTATCAAAACCTTCTTCCATCAAATACTCATGGGAACTGGAAGTAGTTGTCCTAATAGTTTTCGTTATGGTGCGGGATATAGTAGACGATGTCTCTTGCATCGAGTCATCATACACAAATCCTGTATTGCTTGCTTCTTCAATGGTCTCAAAATCCTGCTGCATTTGGCCTTGGCTAACATATGGTTGAGTATCATCTGCAGTCGATGACGTTTCAACAGCTGTTTGCCCTAAACGACGTTTGCGCACTGCCGGTATGGGTCGCTTGGCCTCACCCACCCCCATTATTGGTGGTGGCGGGTCTTCTTCATGTCTCTCATCTGTTGTCTTATCCATGGTCGTCTAGCATTTACTCCACGTTTTATTCACACTCAATCAATACACTGGCTCATACACTACACATCCAAACAACATGCCTCCACTCTAGAGAAAAGTAATCGGAACAAAAATTGATTTTTCCTCTAGGATGTATCGTATCGTATACACTTTAAGCTACGAATGCCGGCAAAAGTACACACACGAACCGCTAGTACTATTAATTTCGGTAGTACACTTTTTTTCTAATTGGAACAGATATTTTTATTAAATCTTTAACTTTATTAAACCACTTTAACTATTTGCTTTTTACACAATTCCTTTTTTCTCTAATTAGGTACTTTTTTTAGGATTTCTATTACTTTTTTTCTATTATCCATAAAATGCAAGTGTAGTCTTTATATTTTAATAACCCAATTTTAAACTGGTTTTTTTCACTTCAACTACTTTATTTTTCACTCCTTTTTTAAGGCCTCATTAGGGCAATTTTTTTAAATTTTGTTATTTTATAACAAATGCTAATGCTTTTCAAATACAATTAATAAAAATCATCTTTTACACATTATGTATTTTTTTGCTTTTTCTCATCTCTTTTCAAAACAACGTTCTAACTCGTTGGTTGAATATATATTTTTTATAGTTTCAATTTATTTTTTTTTTCCAATCCGTTGCGGCTGAAAGCCGTTTCGTTACTGAATCAATTTTGAGTCGAACTTATTGTACATACCTTGAGTGCGCAGTTATTTTTCAATAGACAAAAACAAAACAAATACAGTTTTTGTTTGTGTTAAAAATGCTATAGTAAAGTAGTAGAGATAGTAGTAGTGACAAAACAGGGTGTGAGAGTAAATTGCGTAGCTTGAGAGTAAACGTATTTTGGTGGTAGCGGTGCTAAGTTAACTCTTTATTACGCTCTATCAGGTATGGAAATTGAAGTGGTTTAGTACTTTTTGTTATAAAAAAAATACTTCGGTACCCTAAGACACTTTTGGATATTTTTTTCCACTATAGTCTAGTCTATAGTCTAGTTTATAGTCTAGTCTATAGTCTAGTCTATAGTCTAGTCTATAGTCTAGTCTATAGTCTAGTCTATAGTCTAGTCTATAGTCTAGTCAATAGTCTAGTCTGTAGTCTAGTCTATAGTCTAGTCTGTAGTCTAGTCTATAGTCTAGTCTATACCCTAGTCTAAAGTTTAGTCTAGTCTATAGTCTAGTCTATATTCTAGTCTATAGTCTAGTCTATAGTCTAGTCTATAGTCTAGTCTATAGTCTAGTCTATAGTCTAGTCTATAGTCTAGTCTATAGTCTAGTATATAGTCTAGTCTATAGTCTAGTATATAGTCTAGTCTATAGTCTAGTCTATAGTCTAGTCTATAGTCTAGTCTATAGTCTAGTCTATAGTCTAGTCTATAGTCTAGTCTATAGTCTAGTCTATAGTCTAGTCTATAGTCTAGTCTATAGTCTAGTCTATAGTCTAGTCTATAGTCTAGTCTATAGTCTAGTCTATAGTCTAGTCTATAGTCTAGTCTATAGTCTAGTCTATAGTCTAGTCTATAGTCTAGTCTATAGTCTAGTCTATAGTCTAGTCTATAGTCTAGTCTATAGTCTAGTCTATAGTCTAGTCTATAGTCTAGTCTATAGTCTAGTCTATAGTCTAGTCTATAGTCTAGTCTATAGTCTAGTCTATAGTCTAGTCTATAGTCTAGTCTATAGTCTAGTCTATAGTCTAGTCTATAGTCTAGTCTATAGTCTAGTCTATAGTCTAGTCTATAGTCTAGTCTATAGTCTAGTCTATAGTCTAGTCTATAGTCTAGTCTATAGTCTAGTCTATAGTCTAGTCTATAGTCTAGTCTATAGTCTAGTCTATAGTCTAGTCTATAGTCTAGTCTATAGTCTATAGTCTATAGTCTAGTCTATAGTCTAGTCTATAGTCTAGTCTATAGTCTAGTCTATAGTCTAGTCTATAGTCTAGTCTATAGTCTAGTCTATAGTCTAGTCTATAGTCTAGTCTATAGTCTAGTCTATAGTCTAGTCTATAGTCTAGTCTATAGTCTAGTCTATAGTCTAGTCTATAGTCTAGTCTATAGTCTAGTCTATAGTCTAGTCTATAGTCTAGTCTATAGTCTAGTCTATAGTCTAGTCTATAGTCTAGTCTATAGTCTAGTCTATAGTCTAGTCTATAGTCTAGTCTATAGTCTAGTCTATAGTCTAGTCTATAGTCTAGTCTATAGTCTAGTCTATAGTCTAGTCTATAGTCTAGTCTATAGTCTAGTCTATAGTCTAGTCTATAGTCTAGTCTATAGTCTAGTCTATAGTCTAGTCTATAGTCTAGTCTATAGTCTAGTCTATAGTCTAGTCTATAGTCTAGTCTATAGTCTAGTCTATAGTCTAGTCTATAGTCTAGTCTATAGTCTAGTCTATAGTCTAGTCTATAGTCTAGTCTATAGTCTAGTCTATAGTCTAGTCTATAGTCTAGTCTATAGTCTAGTCTATAGTCTAGTCTATAGTCTAGTCTATAGTCTAGTCTATAGTCTAGTCTATAGTCTAGTCTATAGTCTAGTCTATAGTCTAGTCTATAGTCTAGTCTATAGTCTAGTCTATAGTCTAGTCTATAGTCTAGTCTATAGTCTAGTCTATAGTCTAGTCTATAGTCTAGTCTATAGTCTAGTCTATAGTCTAGTATATAGTCTAGTATGTAGTCTAGTCTATAGTCTAGTCTATAGTCTAGTCTATAGTCTAGTCTATAGTCTAGTCTATAGTCTAGTCTATAGTCTAGTCTATAGCCTAGTCTATAGTCTAGTCTATAGTCTAGTCTATAGTCTAGTCTATAGTCTAGTCTATAGTCTAGTATATAGTCTAGTATGTAGTCTAGTCTATAGTCTAGTATGTAGTCTGGTCTGTAGTCTAGTCTATAGTTTAGTCTATAGTCTAGTCTATAGTCTATTCTATAGTCTAGTCTATAGTCTATTCTATAGTCTAGTCTATAGTCTAGTCTATAGTCTAGTCTATAGTCTAGTCTATAGTCTAGCCTATAGTCTAGTCTATAGTCTAGTCTATAGTCTAGTCTATAGTCTATTCTATAGTCTAGTCTATAGTCTAGTCTATTGTCTAATCTATAGTCTAGTCTATAGTCTAGTCTATAGTCTAGTCTATAGTCCAGTCTACAGCCTAATCTATAGTCTAGTTTATTGTCTAGTCTAAAGTCTTGTCTATAGTCTAGCCTATAGTCAAGTCTATAATCTAGTCGTTAGTCTAGTCTACGGTACAGTTTTTGTCTAGTCTATAGTCTACCATGTAGTATAGTCAATAATCCAGCTGAAAAATGCTTTAGTACTTTCAAATCTAAAAAGTGCTTATTTTTGTTATAATTTAGAACTATGTATTTTATTTATAAATTTCAGTTTCCCATGCCTGGTGTTAACGGTATAAAGTTAACTCTTTATTACTTTCTAGTTTTAAGCGTTTTTAAAAACACTAAATACAGAAATTTCAGTTTTGCTGAAAATAGATGTCCTGTACTTATATAATAGTGGATCAATAGATTTCATAACATATCCCTGGTAATCTTTTATGGAATCAGTTCTAATTTAAGAGTTCACAAGTAATCTGGAATTTAATCAGTTTGTAACATTTCACTCAAAGAGTTAATGATTATCTCTATTGCTGTTTTAAATTGTTTAATTAAAAAATCATTAAACAGTTTAACAATAAACTAACTTTAATAGTTTATGTAGAGAATTTATCACAAGTTTTGATTTCATTAGAATGTTGGTGTATTTTATTGGTTGTAAATAGTTGACAACACTTTTAACAACCGGTCTAATTTGAGAGAGCTTTATCTCGCGGTGCTGCCACTAAGTTTTTTATTGTTTTTTATTTTAACATTCCAGCAATAAAATGCTCAGAATGTAAATACATATGTACATAATGTATGTACACAAGTATGTGATGTTTTATGTTATGAATGAAAAAACATCACGAAAAAGTACGTACCCCAACTAGTGATAATAGTACTTTTTTTTAGATTGGTACGTGAAAAACACAAGTTATAAGACTATCAAATTGTAGATACAATTGATAATGGATGATTACAACAAATATTCAATGAAGTGAAGAAGAAAAATGAGTTAAAACTTTATAAAATCTTATCGTTAATTTGTATTTCACACTAAAGATAAAGACACCTTTCTATGGAAAAGGTGTTAATTTTAAAATTATATCTTAATTAAATAATAAAACAATGATTATTTGTGTAAATATAGAGAATTTATAGAAATATTTCATGAAGTCGAGGCTTCTTAAGAAAAGATCTAAAATGGATTGAATTTTCAGCATATTGAGGTTAGGATCAATTCTTCAAAAACATGTGTATTTTAGTGCAAATCTTAGGTGCTGCAGGGTATAACATTACTCCAAATCCTAAATTTTTTGACAACGCTGCTTTGCATGAACTCATGCTTACAGTCAAATTTGAAACCCCTGAACACCATGTTTTGCAAACATTGATTGATGACATGCTATTGCAAAGGCTTTTAAACATGACGTCATTAGGTATAGTGTTAAAAAATATTTAAAATAACAATAAACTTGAAAATATCTAAACTTGATTTGGTGCATTCACATATGTAACATGTATGTCTGTAAATATTTATATACAGAAACATAGATAGATACATTTACAAGCTAAAGTTGTTGGCCTCTAACAACAACAAACAAACAAATAAATAATACACAGGTAAGTGTAACATGAATACCTTCAATTACATATCAAATTTATGTTGCAACAAAACTTATTATTGATATTAAATTTAAATATGTAGAGATATGTTTTTTACAACAAGTCACGCATGAAAATTTGTAACAGGATTATAAACATTTGATATTTGATAACTCAAGCGTTAATTGGTTAACCAATGAAATTTTATAAATGTTACTTAGGGCTTTTTGCTGTGTTAATCGCAGTTTGCCCAAAAATTTATCTTTTTGTCAAATATATTTATCAATTTGCTAGCTTTTTTGATGATATGATATTGTATCTTGTGCACTTTGCAAATTTTATATTGCTTAACTGTTTTCTTATCAGTACCGGCATGAATTTTTTTATACGTTTTACTAGCCATTTATTATCTTATCGTCTTGCTTTAATCATTTTGTCAGCTATTTGTTTCTTTTTTTTTCGTTTGGCTTTGTTTTGGCTAGTAAAAGTGCAAGTGTTTATTTGTTGCCAATCTTACGAAGAAATACACGATACAATGCGTGTGATTGCCAAACCTATAGTCTAGTATATAGGCTGATCAGTCTAGTTTATAGTCTCGTCTATAGCCCAGTCTTTAGTATAGTCTATAGTCCAGTCTATAATCTAGTCTATAATCCAGTCTATAGTCTAGTCTTTAATCTAGTCTATAGTCTAGTCATTGCCTAGTATATAGTTTAATCTATAGTCCAGTTTATAGTCTAGTCTATAGTCTGATCTATAGTGTGGTCAATAGTCTATAGCCTTGTCTTTGGTCTATAACCTATTATACAGTCAGGTCTATATTCTACTTTATAGTCTAGTTTATAGTCTAGTCTATAGTCTAGTCTATAGACTAGTCTACAGCCTAGTCTATAGTCTAGTCTATAGTCTAGTCTATAGTCTAGTCTATAGTCTAGTCTATAGTCTAGTCTATAGTCTAGTCCATAGTCTAGTCTATAGT